GATACGTTTTAGATTTCACTGCACTCATTTTCCACTATTTAATAATAAACTTTGTATCGACGTAGTATCGCCATCAAGTTACAATTCAGAATGACTCCAATTCCTGCAGGCACAACATTTATATCGGCGTGAACGAAAGTCTCGAATGTTCCCGTCAAACGCGCCGCCCGAAACTAGACTGTACTGTCTCTCGTTGTTTCTAGACTAGACTGTACTGTCTACTAGTCTAGAAACAACGCGGCTTTTCTTTGACAAGTGCCGCGCGTTCCTTTGATAAAGCCACCTTTTGCCGCAAGCAGTGTTATTTTATTACGTAATACATTTTTGTAGTTTAGTTACCTACCTACTTATTAAAAAAATTTTTTTGAGACTTGGCCAATATGCTAGACCATAAGGCAAAAAAAAAAAAAAAAAAATTTCTTCTCGAGATCTACTCAAAAAGCACTCGCGATCGACTGGTCGATCGCGATCGACCGTTTGAGCACCCCTGCCCTACAGTGAAAGATGGCAAATTTTATTTTCCCTATAAATATTGGTGCTATTGCAAAATGTACTAGGCTCGACTAGATAAAATATTAACTAAACTTATTATTTGTTGTTCGAACTTCGAGTTGCCTGTTTTTCTTAGGGTCCGGATTTTCAGGGTAATTCTGCTCCTTATCTAAACTTGGCAAACCACCTCTGGCACGACCAATCTCTTGCAGCATCTTCACCATATGCCGTCCAGATTAGCATTTTTCCCCTTTTCCGAATATAAAACAGGACGAAGCGGAGAAAACAGTCTATGCCATCTCTTTCATCTTGCCAAAAGTTAAAAGGGATTGAGACTAATTAACATAGTAGCTTTAAATTGACTTTTCCTACTATGCATAATTAATTAGTACTATAATAAGAAGAAAAAATCCGAATTTTCAAAAGACTTGACGAAAATGAGGTTTCCCTTTTCAGTTACTAAACTGAACTCATCCTAGGATATTTTGTGGACAATCAACTGTCATTTTTTAAATTCCAAAAATACGCATTTGGTTATTTTTAAAATAAACAAACATAGCGGCCGGATCTGTTCTGACTCTTCTCAGTAAATGCAAATGCGATCTTAAGAAACAACAGGACAACCATCAAATTCATTTGCTTATTATCGATATTGATTTCGGGGCATCAGCCTCCTCTCATCAGTCTCGTTTTCGTTTTGGAAGAAAATTTTTTAAATTCCAAAAAGAAAGCCAGACTGATGAGGTGAGGCTGATGCCTCCAAAATCGAAATCAATAAAAAGCACATGAGTTTGATAGTTGTCTAGTTCCTGAAAAGAAACTCAAGAAACACTTAAAAATTTATGAATCTTTAATCAAAAATGTTATAATGTTATGCCTCTATGGAGTTTCCGTTCCAACTCACGGCTATAGAAATTTCAGTTTGGCTATTTTACAAGGTTATTTGGTTGGATTCGCTCTACTCCGTCATATGCTTGATGTCCTGAAGTTGGTATGGCTGAGAAAAGTGTGGGTAATGGATTTTTTGATTACACAAAAAATATTTAATGAGACTAATAAAATTACATAACCAGCAAAATTCCTAGTCAAAGTACAACTAGGTATCTCAGGTTCATCTCTTCAATGTGAAAAGTGTTTCCGCAGTAATAAATATTCCTTCTTTTGAGACAACCTCAAAATCGATCATTTGTTTCAACATATGTGCGAAAGTGCCTTGATGAGTATAGAGACGTAATCTCCATTTCATCGTCGAAGTTCAGCAGATTTTTTAGCCGTACCTTGCTATCAAACGGTGCGATAAACTGGTACACCATTCAGGTTTATTCGTTTTTTTTCCCAGATTAGACTGTAGGCATTTCTATTGTGATGTTTCTGTAATTCACAGTCGCTGGAGGATGTATACCATTTCCTTTTTGGTTGCCCCTTATATTCTTTCCTCGGACAAGCTGATTTATCTCAGAATGTTGAGGATGCCGGGGTAATGAGAGATATCTTTAGAGAAGTAAACTTGCTCGTCTGAATTCTGGGCAAAAGACCGAAAGAACAAGAAAACAATAAAGACAAGGTTTAAAAATAATAATTTTAAGTTTATTGTACCAACACAGAAAAAAATACATTTCAAATAAAAAGTAAACCCAATTTGGCAAGGTAACGGTCTGTTGGCGCCCCTCAACAGTTTTCACCCTCAAAACTGATTGATCATGTCATGATGATCGTCAATTATGTTTAGTATGATCATCTTATGATCAAAACTATTCTCTCCGTGCGTCAAAAAAATTGTTTTCATATTAAACATATATTAAAAATATCAACCGTTTTTATCGATTTTTCGCAAAATTTAAAACTGATGAAATATATATATTTCTTTTTTTTGGGGGGGGGATGTGCCATTTTTGCCTTTAAAAGGAACAAATATTGCAATTCAAAGTCATTTTGATCCAATCAAAATATTTAAATAACCGAATCCGTTTAGAAATGCATTGGTCTTTGAGTGTACCCTTGGGATACACACGAATTCATGATGGGCTGTATTGGGTATAATAATAATAAGTAATTAAATTGGGGACCGCGGTAGCCGAGAGGTCAGCGAGATAGGATCTCATAGATCTTAAATCGTGATCATGAAAGAAATACGTACTTACGCTGGTTTATAAGCGAGTTCATAACGCCAATAAAGAAAAGTTTAATTGTTTCATTTTATTTTTGTTTATTGATTTAACATGAGAAGCTCTCCGACGGGGGGATAAAAAGGTGGATGGTTGAATTATTGAAACTTTCAGGTAAAAAAGAGCTGGGACCCGGGATGTTTTGTGGCAGTTCTTGTTAACATCAGTTCCTCGGATACCGAACAGAGATGGCCTTCGCTGCGGCGCGGATGATCCTCAAGGATAAGAAGAGGAAAACGTCCAAAGAAGATTTCGCCCCAAGGAGCAAAAGCAAGGTGACTGGCGGTGGATTTTGACAAATCCATCAGCAAATACCTTATACTAGGCAACCGCTTCCAGTGGTTTTTATCTGTATTTTTTTACTTTCATTTTTCCCTTTTCTATCCTTCTATTTTCTATTATTTTCATCGTTTTCATACCAACATAAAATAAACAAGCATTTAAAGACAGAAATACACACATTTTTTAAATAGCTTTTTATTTTTTTCAGCTTTAAAAGTGTAACTATTTCACTTTCTTGTGACAATTAAATAATTAAATTGTATCTTTCTTTTGATGTAGAATTGTCAATATCAAATAATACTCTTCAGTACAAAATTTCCACCCTAATTCAAGTTCTATTATCGTGCAATAATTTTCGAAAAATAAGTATTTCATTTTTCCATGGATTCCCTTAAAAGTTAAATAAACAGCGGGTTATGTTTTCTTGTAAAAGTGTCATGAAATCATATACTTCTCTTGAAATACCCAAAAACGAAATTCTTTGAGAGCAGGGCATACAAGAAGTCATTCTTCCTTGCAGTTTTATAAAGACTGCTATTTTACAACATTAAGTTACCTTTTTGAGTTTAAGGGATGGTCTGAATATTTCTTGACGTATCGAAAGCGTTTTACCATACTTTTATGGTACGTTGGACTGGCATTTAAACTCAAGGACATCATTCCCAACACTTACTACTTTATCCTCAAATCTTTTCAGGTTTGCGGTGGCCATGCACTCTCTCCAATCTTCCCACTAAACGCTGGTGTCCTCTAAGGTCTAATCTTCTAATCAATTTTCATCTATGATACACCTCCAACAGTTACATTTACTAATAATAGTTATTCTTTCCCCACCTTCTGATGCTGTCATCTCCGATAGAAAACTTTCCTTGCTGGCAGAAAAAGAGCAAGATAATAAAGAGGCGAAATTTAGTATATAGCCTCTAAACTTTGACGAATCCACTAACGTCCGTCTATATGAACCAGATTCTTCTCTACTACAAAGGCACTGCCATAGTTGCCAGACTGCTTGAAGGTTGGTAAAACTGCCATTGACTAAAAAACGACTCACATGCACTGTAATAAAGCCAAGACTTGCTGACAAGAACTTTGGGGCTCAAGTAAACGCTCCAAAATTCCATCCAGGCCCAACAATCCAAGATCCTCTGAAAGATAGTCTATAATTTCATTTTACATATTTAATCTCACTACCCATACCAACCTCAACATTCCTGGCAAGAACACATTACCTTAAATTCCATTCTGACCTTTCCATCCATATTAATTTCCTTTTATCCCAATTTACCCCACCTTCCAAATATTCGTTACTTCAGAAAAGAATTTGAGCTTAAAGACTTAAAAGGAAATATCCACGCCCTAATTAAATAAATAAAATTCATGTTGTATCACAGTAACATAGTCTATATACCAACTTTACTTATTATAATTTTATTACAGTTATGAATTATAAAAATTCACCTAAAATGTATGTCTTAAGTTTAAATTGTGTAATAAGCGGAGACTGTCACTTTTGGATATTAAGAATTTTTGAAAAGACTGAATAATTTATCTGTTTGTGGGTGGCACGGTTCATAGCTGGCGTAAACTTTACAGTAAAAATTAGAAACTCGAGTTGACTTCAGACTTGATAAGCACTGAACAACAAACCTTGGTTTTAAAATATCACCGTGCTCTTATCCTTATTTAGCCTTGCTCTTAATATCATGATAATTAAAATAAAATAAACTTGGTTTGTCTGTAATTTAACTCCTTCTCTCTTTTAAAAATTAAACATTATTTATATCAATGTCTTCAACTACATTTCACGTTCATTTTAACTTTTTCCTTTACCAGAAAGTTACCAACACGAGAATGAAATGACAACTGAACAGAAGTCTCGGACTAAACTTCTCAAAAATGAAAGGGGATGTAGCCAGATTTGTATTATTTATTAACACTAGCATTTTTATTTTACTTTCATTATAAATTCCATTAAAATTTATTAGAAATTGTTATGTTTTTTACTGAAGGAAAATTTAATTAAGGGATTTTGAAAAATAACAAATAATAGGTTTTATTCCATAATTTCGTTTATTGGACACAATAATTTTTAAAAATAGTTAATTCCGTGTATAATGTCTTTTGTTAGGTAACACCTGTACGAACCGCAGGTATTCATTGATACCGTGGTCACTAATTTCATAAGGAATTTCACTCCACAGATGTTGCAACGCTGCCCTCAGTTGGTTCAGGTCAACTGGCTGCGGATGGTTATCGAAAAGCCTTTTCATCAATGCATCCCAATGTGCTCAATGGGATTGAGGACTGGAGACAATGTAGATGGGGCAGATTGGAAAGTCCCATGTTTTCTAAACATTGATGAACAACTCTCGAGGTCTGGCATTTTCATCCAGAAATCGAAAAACCCTGCCAATGAGATCCCTGTTTGGGGGATGTATTCCTCGATAATTTCTTGGACATAACAAACTGGGGTGAGGTTGCCTTCAACAATATGGAGTCCAGTTCTTCCTCCAGTGTAAATCCCAGCCCAGACCATCACACCGCCTCCACCAAAGTGCACTAAAGGGAGCACGAACTTGGACAATGTTCGTATCCCCTGTTCTGGATAGACTCTCCGGCGCCAGTTATCACTATACAGACAGAAAAGTGACTCAGCAGTAAACATAAAAGCATTCCAATTGGTGTTCTCTTCTGGGAGCTCGCTGCACCATATTCTCCTGAGTTGCTGATGGCGGGTTGTTGCTCTCAAAGGCGCATACGATGTGAGGCCAACGTTTCACAAACGATTACGAACAACTCACAACAACTCAAAACATCTTGTATGTCATTTAGGATCTCGTGGGCATTATGGAAATGGTTCAGTCTTGAAGCAGTGGCAATATTTTTGTCCACTCTAAGCGTCGTAATGCGCTGAGATCGACTACTCTTTTTTTTAACACCTTTTAATTTTTTGCGTACGTTTCTACCTTTATTCGGGTCATCTTCAGGGCGTGGGTGAATCACAAAACATGTTGATTGGAAAAAATACAATACAGATTATAAATTTTGAACCAAGTATTTCATACTTATATAAAGTGTGGTGCCTCTCTACTATCTACCATCCCCCGTATCTTCAACGTTGGCCCAAAATCCTACTACTCTTTTCCCGATACCATAGTAGCGATAGTCTCAGTCTAAACTCAAGACATAATATTCAACTCATCGAAACATTCCAACCAAGACGATTTCTCCAAATTCCCTCCTACGTCTCTAACCTTACTATCAACAATGACCTCAATATTCCCCTTGTTCATGAATTGATCCCTTCCCACTTCCTGAAGTTACACTGTCACCTTTTAACTCTTCAAGTTAACCCTTCCATTAAAGCCCTTTCTACTATCTCCCACCCCATGAATTTTCCACGTTGCCTTATACGAAGTAGTTCTGAGACCTACACGCTCCCTAATGTCTCAAATGCTTCTGGAGCAAGAGTACCAATCTAGCATGTTTTCTGAAGACATAATATTCAAATCATCAAAACTTTATAATCAAAAGTCTTTTCCTTTCTGGAAAAAGAAGAATTCTCCTACCTCCCTACTTCATCTCTAACCTCACCATGAACAATAACCTCAACAAGACATTGGTTTCTCAAGTCATGTGTCTCTCCAGGGATATAATAACACAAAGTGGTAAGATGTATGAATGAATGTATAGGATGCAGATAATAATAATAAATAGTAATGAGACTCTACTTTGAAGTTGAATACAAACCGTTTTCATTCATAAGCTGATGACGTCGGACATATTTTCTATTTCAAGCTGGAGATAGGTGGAACGTAATTATACATGATTTAGGTTAAATTTCAAATTTTCAATAAAAGAGTTAAAATTAAACAAAATAACGGTTCAATGAATAAAGAATTTTTTTGTAATTTAGCAACTATAAAATGCTAAATCCCTTTAAAAAAATCAATGCTAAATCCTCCCCTTGCTTGTGGTCGAACTCATTTTTAACATTTTATAAAAACCCTTGACCTGAATAAGAGCTTTGGAGATTTCCAGAGTAAGGCCCTTTTAAAACCTTTGACAGTTCAGTAACAAGACCAGCTGAAACGTGACGAGGTTACTAGACGTCCTGGCAACTGCAGCAGTGCAATTTCCGTATATTCTAAATTCAGAATGATAAAAGGTAATTGTTTTAGGATAGCATGAATTTATCAGATACCTTAATCTAATATTGCTTAAATGAGATTAATTTATTCTTCTTAAAAAAATGGTGGAAGTAGAACTGTCATCAGAATGATCGTCCTACTTGCTATTTTTAACTGCTCTTTGTGCGCATTTCTCATCTTTGTGGATTTTGGGAGAATTAGAAATTTAAATAAAAGTAGTTTGATACTTCATATTTTGTATTAATAAATTAATAATTCTTAATTCTCTTAATCTTGTTTCTGATGTATATTAGCTGGATGGATATCCCCATCTATTCTTTTTCTATCTTTCATTTATTAGATTAGTTTTGATTGTTTTTAAGTAAAATTCTTTGTTTTGGGTAGTTTGATACCCTTGGTCTTAAAAAGTTTATATAATTTTTTTTTCTAAAGATTTGTCGCTGAACTCGCTAGTTGATACACTAGGTATTTTTCTCGTCAATTTTTATGCCCGAGGGGTTTTCCAATAAGATTGGTTGTTTTTAGAGGTTTTAAATAATAATTTTATTTTAAAAGATTGATCAGTGTATAAATTACCTAAAAAGACGATCTGATTAGAGTCGATAATATAACAATCTATTTTTTATAAATCCGGTGAATCCTTGATAAAAACATAATGATTCATTAATGGGGCCAACTGCAAGTCAATTAATTATGAATAAAGGCGATGTAAAAATTAATCCAGCCCCACACTTTTCACAAAAACGATTATTAATTGCTTAAAGTCCACAAAAGAGTTATTTAAGCTGAACCTCCCCCTCCAAAACTCACCCATTTTGTACAAAATAAAACTAAGGTCTAGA